TGGTAAATAATTGTTTATCTTGGCACTGCAAAAACTTACTTACTGATCAGCAGCACGGTTTTACAAAAGGAAAATCTACTACAACTAATCTTGTTATTTATCACAATTACATAATAAATTCTGTAGAAAACGGTTTGCAAGTAGATGCCATTTATTCAGACTTTTCTTAAGCCTTCGATCAAGTTAATCACGAATTACTATTACTCAAACTGCAGGCCTACGGATTCCCTCCCTTTCTTCTAGAGTGGCTTAAAAGTTATCTCATTGGTAGAGTGCAGCGTGTCAAAATAAAGAGTTATTTGTCTGATCCCATAGAAGTTTCTTCTGGTGTACCGCAAGGGGCCCACTTAGCTCCATTACTTTTTAATCTATTCATTAATGATGTTGGATCTGTTTTTGAATATAGTAATTATCTGCTATTTGCTGATGATTTAAAGATTTACTTAAAGATTAACAGTGGTGATTGCTGTAATAATATTGAAAAAGATTTCCATGCCTTATGTAAATGGTCTTCCTCTAATGGTCTAACCCTAAACACTAGTAAGTGTTACTGCCTTACTTTTACAAAAAATCATAATCAAATAACACATAACTACTCTCTGAATAACAATACATTAATTAAACGTGTTACCGAAATTAAAGACCTGGGAATCGTATTTTGCTCAGATCTTTCGTTTAATAATCATATCAATCTTATAGTTAATAGAGCAATGAAAATGTTAGGCATGCTGATAAGAAACTCTAGCTCGTTATCTTTAGATGCCTGTAGAATGGTCTATATTGCATATGTGCGGTCCATTTTGGAGTACAGCTCTACCATATGGTGTCCATTTTACATAAACTCTGTAAAAAGGATTGAAAATGTCCAAAATAAATATCTACGATATTGTGCCTTTAAAGTTGGTCTAGCAGCAGGTACATATAATTATTCCACAATTCTGGACTTAATAAACCTCCCAACCCTTGTTAATAAAAGAATATTGATGGATCTATCATTACTCCATAAGATCATAGCCGGGATTATTACTTCTGATGAGTTATTAGCTATGATTGAATTTAGAGTTCCCACAAGAACTACAAGAAATAATAGTTTATTTGCCATTCAACTTCACCTTACCAATCATGCTTATCATGCACCTCTACGTAGACTAATGCGACTGGCTAATCAATACAATTTAGACATCACTGGGTGTTCTATTAGTCAATTTGTGAATGATGTAAAGAGAATTTTTTTTTAATATCTTTAGTTTAGTTTATTACATTTCATATATGAAATTTTAGATTTATTGTGCCTACCTTTTTTAATGTACTTAAGCTATTTTATGTAATTTATTGATACTAATGGAGTATTCCGTAATATATATATTTATTTATTTATTACCAGTGTCGCATCATTTTTACGGAAATTGCAATTAATATAAATAATAAATTTGATACATACCAATTCATTAAATTATGCACATATTTTATAAACTTGCATTATTTAAGTAGGTACCTATCTAGTTATAGCAAATATTATTTTTTTTTTTTTAATTGAAACATCAGAAAGTGTATATCGGAAAAATGACATAAAAAACAATCTAAACAATAATGTTTTTTGCAATATATTAAATACTATATCTAATGGGTTTTTCTGTAGTTTTCAAACTGTGTTCTTCTTCTTTTTCTTCTGGTCATCAAATGACTCAATGGTGACTAAAGCCATTTCTAAAAGTTCTTTGAACTTCGTAATCAATATTTTATTTTATGTAAAATCTTTATATACTATGAAAGAATTTACCATTGCTGAACCAAACCTGATTTTGGTAGGCTTTCATTTAGTGCGACATGCCAATGTAGGCTTTAAATTTAATATAGTCAATGATGACTTGGGGTCACAGTATTTAAAATCTAGCGCTCTGACCGTGTGTTATCCAGATATTGCACGCCCAAAAACAATATTTGGAATTAAAGAAAAAAAATTGCAAATATCATGAAACATTGTTTTATTAAGTTTCTAACTAGTATTTCAAATAAAAAGCTGCCGGTCCGTGGGGCTAGATTTGGCCTTACGACAGTATAAAGTGTAAAACCAATATCTTTGGTAGTGCGCTTGCAATGCTCAGGAATGGTTCTGATCATATGAACTCAGATTGGGTTCCTCTTAAAGCGAGCGCTCCCAATTCAGCCGTAATCATTTCTGCTTGAGAGATCGTGGCCAGAAAAAATAGGCTAGGTTTATGTCAACTCTTTGCTCCTGTTGAAGTCTTCTGAGGACAGCGCATAATCCGCCTGGGAGAGGGTCTTATCCTCCCTGCTCCATACGTCTCTCTCTCTCTCTCTCTCTCTCTCTCTCTCTCTCTCTCTCTCTCTCTCTCTCTTTCTCTCTCTAAAATGAGGACACTGTATTGCTTTTCTATGTGGTGTCAGACAACTAGCGAGTTTGAGACCATGTCTAGGATGTGGTTGTTATTAATCTCCCTCTTTAGCCCTGTCTTGTCCCATCGCAATTCTAACTTGCATTGGCTACTTACCTTCAGGAGTGTATAGAAGATGATCCTGGCATTCTCTTTTAGCAAAATTTGAAGAAGGTTTAGGACCAGCATGGTCTTCAGAGCTCCTGTGAGTGTGGTTGACATTGCCCCAGTAAATGGCGAGGCATGCAAGTCGCTAGATTCCAGCCAAATTTGCTCCAGACGAAAGTTGAAATACCTTGTCCTACCAGGCGACGGAGCCGTACGTACCCATGGATTTTACCACTGTTTGGTAAATCTAGAAGATCAGTTGAGGACTGATCTCCCATGCTTTTTCGAAAGAGAGATAATTTGGCTTTGTTAAAGGTTTTATCAAATTAGGGGTTCCAGGTGAGTTTCTTATCTAGGATAATCTTCAGATATTTCACCTCCTCCACAAAGGAATGGTTTTCCCAGCCAAGGTAGATTGTCGAATCTGTCGGATTTCTTCTCTTGGTGAACGGGACAGAGGTTTACAAATACATCTACTCCCTCTCGCACCATTTTTGATCATATTTTGGGCTTGTTGAAGGATGTTTAAGATTACCTCTTCTTATTTCCCCCTCATTATGATGACCAGATCATCCGCAGAGCATTGAAAATCCATCCCCTGCCGAGATAAATCATCTATTATTTTAACACTAGAACAATCCCCTACTGTGGACTATTGAAAGTACGCCACCTTGTGGACATCCTCTGACTGGTCTGAAAGTGACCGTCTTCTCTCTTTGCAGTGATGAAATGATGTCCTGATTTGGTAGCATGCTTTTGATTCAATTACTGGTTCGTTTGTCGATTCCTCTTCTTTTAATAAAAGTGAACAGAGACTGAGGAAGGGCGCCTTCTATGTCTAGGTAGGCATCCAGTGCAATCTCTCCGTGTTTTAGGAAATGGCTGATGTTGCCTACTAGATTGTACATGGCATTATCTATCGATTTGTCTGCTTGGTAGGCATACTGGGAGGTGGTTATCAGACTTGTAAAAGGCGTCCCTCTTTAATATGTCTATCTAGAATTATTTTTAGTGTTTTTAAAAGAAATGATTTTAGGTAGATTGGACGATAAGAGTTTGATAAGAAGGTATCGACTTCATCAGCCTTGTATACATAATTTTCGCCATCGTCATCCTAGCCAGATATAGCTCTACACCAGGATGGTTCTAAACTGCCTCACAAAGAGCGGCAGCAAGCGTTCCTGTCCGTTTTGCAAAAGGGCAGGAAATATGCCATCCTCTCCGGGTGATTTAAAAGGGAAGAATGAATTTATCGCCCATTTCATGCGCTTGGAAAGACAACTTGTGCAACGAAGTTCCAGTCCTCCTTTTTGGTTCGTATGTTTGATTCCTTAATAAAAAGGGATACATGTTGCCTGTCCTCCAAGATTTGACTGCCTGGGAAGTTTTTAAACGTTGAATAACTTGGGTGTTACTTTTAGTGGCATAGCCGCAAAGCTGGATAATATACGTCCTTAGGAGTTTTAATATCTACCTGTAAATAAGTAGTTTGGTATGTTTAGATACGCTTATAGCGGATTCGACGGGCTCCATTAATGCGCATTTAGTTCGACTTTTTTAAGTGTTGTCTGTTCGACTGGCAGAACCTATGCTAACAGTTCCAGTCGAATAACGATAAAGTTGCGCTACACCAATATCGAACTCTAACTTGTGCTTGCTGTGTGCACTGCTAGATATAGATTTGAATTGTAAAAATGCTGCCCAAAATCAATTCAGAACTAAAAGCGCTTTGTCATCGAGCAAGAGCATTTGAGTCGAATCCGCTATTAGTAACAATACAATATTTTATATGTTATACCAAGCTCTTCACGAATCTTTTTAATATTAACTTTTCAGCGAAGTCTAGCATCAAGTTGTATTCCCAGATATTTTGCTGTATTGTCATTTTTCTAATGGGAATATCGTCGGTGGACATGTCAAAAAAACTTTGGAGTTTTAAATTTGTAATGTCTATAAACCTTAAATTCAATATCATTTATGTGCAAAAAAATAACAATTCAAAAAATGCCTTAAAAATGATTATAATTTAAAATTCCTAATTGACTAAATAGTTGATTAAATTTTATAATCATAGGCAAATCATTAAAATACTAATAACAAAACTACTATTGTAAACCAACGATATATTGATTTGGTCTATTGCTGCAATTGATATAAACCGTTTTGCTTTCATTCAATTTAATTCGCCGTCTTTTCGTCTGGTCTATAGATTTTTGCAATAGTTTTTTTATTAGCATTTTTGTTATTCTTTATAACAGACAGAATTGCAGTATCATCAGCAATTGTTGCGATAGTATTGCAATCAAAACTAGAAATATCTCTGGTTTATAACAAGTAGAGTAGTAGAACTAGTTACACTACCTTAAGGTACGTCTGCCATGATTTCCCTTAGGCCGGAATCGGATCCTTCTGGTTTAATTCTGAAATACCTAAATAGGATTTTGATAGTTATGAATATTAGACATTTTGCAATAATTTGTCTATTTCTGTTTTCAGAAATGTATTTTCGGCACCAAAAACGGTACAGGCAACCGTGACGATACTCGAAAACTTGCATATAATTTTAGAAAAAACCCCCAGAGACGATATTCAGACGGAAATACTACCAATGCTCTACAATGCATTTGAAAGCACAACAATACAAGTTCAGGTAAGTAAGCTCATTCATTCAATCAGCTCAATAATTTCTTGGTTACATTTTACCTGAATTCTTAAGAAGTTATGTATCATATTGCATGACATTTGCTAATCAATCAGAAGTTTGTCGTTAGGCGAATTTCTACAAAAAGAGCGCAAGTAAATTAATTTGACTTTCACATCTTGATGCGACAACATCAAGCAAACAATGACTTGATTCACAGAGTTCATTTTACATACTTAAAAAAGTGGATTAGCTAGAAATATAAACCATTAATCTGATTAGTTTTTATATTAATACTCCATTAAATAACTAACACGTTTACGACCGCTATTATGAAATTTGACGATGATAGAAACCAACCTCGTTTTTTGGGTGACAAAAATATTATATATTTTATAGGTTTTTTTTTTTTTTTTTATTTATTTTTTGTATTTTTTTTGTACCAGACACGCTCAGAAAATGACGCCAAAACACATCTATCGCCGCTGAACCGCCCGGGAGTTATTTGCATTTAATCATTGTAGGATCATTGTAGGGTCACACATTTGTGACATCAGTTTCTGGAAAAAACTGCTTGTCACATATATGTGACGCGTGGTCGTCAACGTGTTGAAAGTATATTACACCAACCGTCGATTATTCGGTTACCTGAAATTGGTTGTTTAAAAGCAAAGAAATATTTTTCCTACGACCACTTAGGAAAGTGACACATATCACACTATATAGTCCTATGGAAAGTGCCCTATATCACACGCGTATGAATAACAATTTACTTTTTACCCGTGTGCGAATATGCTACTTTCCGCATTAGCTGTCAAAATATGTCAAACGCATTATTTCTATTTTGATTTATGTAATGTTCATATTAATACTAAAATCGATATGATTGTTAAATTATTGAAATTGTTGTAAATTAGATCCTAGATATTTATCTTTAACAATTATTATTAAAATAATTTTAAAATAACTAAGGTATGTTTGCTTTTTATTCTGGTTAAACACATAACCGATTAGATCATTCAATTGACACAAGACCTATTAGCTCAGGTGGTAGAAGCATCAAACTTTATCAACTTTGCCATTTGAGACCTGGCGAGCGACCGCGTTCAAATCCTTGCGGGGGCAGATTTTTTTTTGTTTTTTTATTTTTTTTTGTTTTTTAGTTTTTTTTTTGTTATAAAATATGAAAATTGAATAAATACGATTATTGGTGATTATTTTTTTAAATAAATTTTAATTATTATAATAATAACCTGGTGTTACATTTTTTGATGAAATTATTTTGTTGTCGTAGGAAAAATATTGTACATGACTTTTGTGAAAAGTGATTTTCCACACTTTTGTGAAAAATGTCACTTTCCACACTCGTAATGTTATATACTATAACGTATTTCTGATGAAAACTAAATAATGTAGTATTTTATAGACTCCCTAGAATATTTTGTTTAAAATTTCGCGAAAATTAGATCGGTTTGGGTTTCGATAGATTTTTCCACGATTTTAATCCTTAACTGTACTTTCAGAGTGCGGCGTTGGTAGCAGTGACAAGCGTTTCGAACTACCTGGACGACAACTCAATACGACGAATGATTCTTCAAAAGACCAAAGGAATATACGAGAAGAATCAGGGCGATTCGAAATTGGTGTTGAACGTGCTTAGTTGTGTCGAACAAATCTTGGACCGGCTGGATAAGACGCAGATCATCGACGAAGTGCTTCCTCTACTATACGACATCCGGCTCTCTGATCCCCAGATCACTCTGAGGATCGTAAGTAAGTCACTTTTTTCATCTGTCACGATAAACAAATTTAGTAATTTTAGGAAATTAAAAATCACGTGATTAACACAGCTAAAATAATAATTAAGATTCAGTTATACTATTTTAAAAATATAATGATGTGAATTAGTATGGAAAAGATTGTATATGTCTAAATTATTTAACAGTTAGACGCTAAATAAGAAACAAGAATAAAAATGAAGTCTGTCAAACTTAACCGCGGTTCATTTAAATATCCTTTATTATTTATATACCAGTTTTTGGCATTTATTACACCAAAAAATAATACATTAAAATATTGCATTTTATATAAATAATAGTTATTTATGTAATTATTTATTATTAATAAAAATGTGTTTAACTTTTGAACTGACAACATAAACACAATAAAGCAACTTTTATTAAAGTAAAACGCTATGTTAATTACGGTAAAATATGGTAAATTACGGTAAATTACGGTAAATTACGGTAAGTTACGGTAAATTACGGTAAATTACGGTAAATTACGGTAAATTACGGTAAATTACGGTAAATTACGGTAAATTACGGTAAATTACGGTAAATTACTGTAAATTATTGTAAATTACTGTAAATTAATGCAAATTATTGCAATTACGGTAAATTACGGTAAATTACGGTAAATTACGGTAAATTACGGTAAATTACGGTAAATTACGGTAAATTACGGTAAATTACGGTAAATTACGGTAAATTACGGTAAATTACGGTAAATTACGGTAAAGTACAGTAAATTACTGTAAATTGAGAAAAAATAGGTAAATTACGGAAAATTATGGAAAATTACGGTAAATTACGTAAACTTACGATAAATCACAGTTAATTACGGTAAATTACAGTAAGTTATGGTAAATTACGGTAATTTATGGTAATTTATGATAATTTATGGTAATTTATGGTAATTTATGGCAATTTATGGTAATTTATGGTAATTTATTGTAATTTATGGTAATTTATGGTAATTTATGGCAATTTATGGTAATTTATGGTAATTTATGGTAATTTATTGTAATTTATGGTAATTTATGGTAATTTATGGTAATTTATGGTATTTTATGGTAATTTATGGTAATTTATGGTAATTTATGGTAATTTATGGTAATTTATGGTAATTTATGGTAATTTATGGTAATTTATGGTAATTTATGGTAATTTATGGTAATTTATGGTAATTTATGGTAATTTATGGTAATTTATGGTAATTTATGGTAATTTATGGCAATTTATGGTAATTTATGGTAATTTTTGATAATTTATGATAATTTATGGTAATTTATGGTAATTTATGATAATTTATGGTAATTTATGGTAATTTATGGTAATTTATGGTAATTTATGGTAATTTATGGTAATTTATGGTAATTTATGATAATTTATGGTAATTTATGGTAATTTATGGTAATTTATGGTAATTAATGGTAATTTATGGTAATTTATGGTAATTTATGGTAATTTATGGTAATTTATGGTAATTTATGGTAATTTATGGTAATTTATGGTAATTTATGGTAATTTATGATAATTTATGGTAATTTATGGTAATTTATGGTAATTTATGGTAATTTATGGTAATTTATGGTAATTTATGGTAATTTATGGTAATTTATGTTAATTTATGTTAATTTATGGTAATTTATGGTAATTTATGGCAATTTATGGCAATTTATGGTAATTTATGGTAATATGTGGTAATTTATGGTAATTTATGGTAATATGTGGTAATTTATGGTAATTTATGGTAATTTAGGGTAAATTAGGGTAAATTAGGGTAAATTAGGGTAAATTAGGGTAAATTACGTTAAATTACGACTAATTACGACTAACTACGATAAATTACGGTAAATTATAATAAATTACGGTAAATTACCGTAGATTACGGTGAATTACGGTGATTTACGGTATATTACATCAAATCTATGTTAACCCCTAACTTGGCAAACAAACAAAAATATTGTTTGTTAGTTTTGTTTTATAAGACTATTAAAGTCACGTTATGACAAAAAAATATTTGTTTTTCAAAAGACTTTGATTTGCAAATGTGTACCTAGGTATACAGTGCCAATAAAGTAAAACATAATGCGTGTGTATACAATACTCTTTACTTTATACAAAGATCGTAGAGTGAGAAAAGTTCTTAGCTCGTAAAATGCAAAAGGGGATAACAATTTAGTAATGAAAATATCCAAAGAGTTAGCAAATGTATTGTTATGCTGGATTAATAAATTACGTGATAGTAGATATCATATTCGTGTAGATTTCTTTGATATTGAAATTTTTACAGACGCTTTTAAGAAGGGATGGAGCGTGTTCTGCAATGGGTCTATTGGTCAGAATCTGAACAAGAGTATCATATACAATTTCTACAGCTTTTATCAGTTTTGTTCAGGTTAAAATGTTTTTACAAATGAAAAACCATAAATTAATATACTGTACCGAGAAGATAACACTGTGGCTACTATTATTATAATGTGATAAAAGAATGGGAAGTATATTATATACTATTATATTAATATCCCAAATTAAATACTCTTGCTCATACAATTTGGCGATGATGTGAACCGTTGCCTCTTTATATTTTTCCAAATTTAATTATCGAGCTGATAAAGCTTTCTGTTATTCAAAATAGTAGACGGAATGGTGTATAGCAGTTTTCCGTTTTTTTAAAAAGAATAACCGTTCCGGTATCCCCGAAAAAACTTATTTGCAAGTATAATAAATGCTAAATGTAAACAATTTATATCTTGGCTGGGAAACCCAAACACAGTAGCCAGTAATGTATTTTTAACTGGTTAAAATCTTTAATTTTATACATTTCCGCCTTTTAATATAATTTTATAAGAACTACTACAGTAAACAAAAAGGTGAAAGTCGTGGTGGCGGTACCATTATGGGATTTTCGGCCTTGGTATCCGTTATTTTTATTGGTATGAGTAGATCAGATATTGATATTTACTCCTAATAAGGACTTACTTTCTTTTGATAGGATAACCTATCCTTTCTCAGGAATAATTTTCCTGGTTGCAGGGATATTATTCAATAAACTCTCATGGGTATCGGATACTATGCCTAAAAAATATAAGTCCATGTTAGAATATTTAACAAGACAATTTTATAGTGGTTCATCATATAATTCACTAAACTGTTAGAGATTAGATATAGCGCAAATAGCTGACCCTGAAATGGCAAAATATTTTCAGGTAAAAAGATTTTTTTTTAGAAGTTTTTTAGGTTTAAGACCAGATGTGCTTAAATAAGAAAATACGTGGGATATAAATGTAGTGTCAAAACCTTACCAATAAATTAGCAGTGTTACTGGTCTTATATATTGGTTAGCACATTCAAATTTTATAGCCATAGAGATACAGAATTGTCAGAAAAGAACAAGAAATTCAGAAAAAGGTAACGAAAAAAGTAAAGATATCAGCTAATAGAGTTTATCCCATGTTAAACTTTCCGTTTTCTTTTATACAAACCCAGGTATTTGCGTAGCAACAACCTTGTTAGAGTATATAGAAAAAGTTAAAGACTTAAGGGGTAATTGTGGTAGCCTCTGTACATTATAATTAGGAAGCCGCATCATGCTGCCTCTACGCAGACCATCAGCTTATGGATGAACTTCATTTTGAGTAATTGCTATGGAGCAATTTTCCTCTTAGAGCACATAACATATCTCTATTTTTTAAGTTTTCTTGAAAGTGGGTCAATTATGACAATATAAATTTTAAACTTGTAATCAGTTAAATATAAATAAAATGTTTTATCGTAATTTTTGTTGCAACATGCTTTAAACAGCGACACATATCTTATTTACGAGACGAGGCAGAAATATAATTATAAGATCAAATGAACTTACCTGAAGTAAAGTTCGATCTTAATTATATGATGCCTCGTCGAAGTAAATAAGTCCCAGACCCACCCATAATTTCTAAAGTCCCCATAAGTTGCAACAAGTATGCTATGAAATGACTAAAGCAAAGTGTTGACATGAGGGGATAGGTGGAGAAGGGAATATATCAAATAGTTCCAGCTTTCAACTATGTGGTCGAATCGAAGCATATACAGGGGGCGACATATATCTTATTTACTTCGACGAGACATCATATAATAAAGATCGAACTTCACATCTGGTAAGTTCGTTCGATCTTATAATTAGTAGATATAAAAGTATTAGAAATCAAAAATTGCTTACATGATGCATGGACATTTCACTCAAACTGAAACTATTACACAACTAACCTAACAATTTTGAGTTTGCTAAGGCGCAAAATTTAAAAATGGCGGTTAGAAAGCATAACTTACTAGACATGATGTGTATCTAAGTACACAGTGTTTTATATGTACAATTTTTCCATGGTACTTATAAGAAAACAATTTTTGAAATATCTGTGTTTTAAGATACACATCGTCAGGATAAGGGTTAATACCATTTTACTGCAAAAAAATTAAATCGGTAATATTCATATTATAAACGAACCTTTTTATGTATTTATATGTTAAATCACTTTATTAGATATAAAACCAACTCACTTACACTCAACTTTTGTCAAATAAACCTAAATAGCTAAACAGTTCCATATTAACTGAATTCCTTAATAAAATGAAAGTATATTATTTCACGAGCGGTTATGACCATTACCGCAAGTTGAATACTATACTTTATCTACGACTATAACAATAAATACTAAGATACAAGTATCGAGAAAGAATTATATAATTGACTAGATGATAAAAACGTTTGAATCTTTGTAAAAGCTATTACCTTCGTCGCCAGATATTTCTCATGAGGAGCTTCATTTATGAAATTATTAAGTTGTTCTGGCCTAAATGTTTTTGCCTTTTTAGCTATATGTTTCTCTGATTAACGTTTAAGAAACGCACGTAATTTTGAATAATTCTCTATATTAATTCCATTATTTGTATTGAGTGTGCTTCTTACAAGGAGTATAAAATCCATAGAGACGATGCTTTATATTTATT